TTTGAATAAACTCAATCCAATCATTCATAGATCCAAACTCTATTTTTTTCCTTCTAAACACCTATTTTTGGTGAAATATCTAATGATAGTTTATTTTGTAATGATTATTTTTTTACTTTATTACTTACATTTTTTTAAATTGTTACAGAATAACATTGAAAATGATGTAACACAAGGAGTTGAGGGTGGAAATGTGACTCATGAGAATAGAAAAATGACTCCAATGGATATAACACTAAGAGTGCTTGAATTTTTGGCTGCATTTGTGTTATTAGCTTTTGTAGTTTATGTGATATGGCGCTATTCTTGTTGTGGCAGAAACAGAGGCAGTGGCAGCACATAGAAGAAGTAGGGTTGCTGTTTTTAAGGGAAATTTATAGTTAAGAGATTTTACTCAATTCAATAAATTTATTATTATTTTTTATCTTATTATCATGTTTGTCAACATTATGGTAAAAGAATTTTGTTGATGGAAGCTGATTTTTTGTCATTTATATCATATAGAAGATAAATTAAATTTACCATTCACACTCAAGTTTCTCTTAATAGTAACTTCTTTTCTTAACCTATGTGCACGGGTATTTTGTAATATTAAATAGAGTAAATTACACTCACACCTCCTGAGTTTTAGTGAAATTATACAAATAATCCTTACTTTTTTTTTGTCCTTACACAAACCACTCATACCTCCTGCACGAACCACCCCTAGTTTTGTATATATATTACATTGATTACCCCTTCATGTTATAAAAGTATAATATTTTATACAAAAATGTGTGTTGAGTGTAATTAATTTAAAAAATATTATATAGTGTGTAACATTTCAAATAGTACAAAAATCAATGTTTCTTTATTATTTTTGTCTCATTACAAAATACATTACTAATTCTAAAGATATGTTTAAATAACTCTTATAATATTTTGTAATGAGTCAGACACATCGACTCTCATATTATTTGAATTTGTCTACACAATATACAATATTTTATTTAACTTAAATACACACGCCATACGTTTTTTTGTTTAAAATATTACACTTTTATATTACGCATGAGTAGTCAGTATAACATATATACAAAATTAAGAGTGGTTCGTGTAAGGATAAAAAATGGAAAGGTGTCTTGTATAATTTCACTTAAAAAAATTTATGAGTGACATTTGTTAAAAGAGGTACTCACTCGTACTCGAAATAAACGAATTCCTTACCCATAAGGTGAGAGATACTCTTAGTTATACGTGCAGAAAAAAAGATGTCACCAAATAAATTCTTTAATTTAGTCCAGTACTAGGTGGAGGGCATGTGCTGAACAAAATAGTATCATAAAACAAAAGTAGAAGCATCCAATATATCTTAATATTTAAAGACAATGGCTTCAAATAAAAATTACCAAACAAAGAAACATCATTAATATTTTTACAGGAAAAAACATCATATATGATGTTACAAAATGTCACATCAACTGAGATCTTTATTAATCAAACCAAAACAGTTTATGCTCGTAGAACAAAATGACATTAAATCTCAATAGTAAAATTCCAACCATAATCAAATTGATCTACCAATTCCTTAACAATAAAATATCAGATAGTTCATGCCAACATGTTTCAAATCACAAGTTTTTGAAAGCTGAGTCATGAGTTCCTTTTTGTGGTGTGAGTCTAGCCAGAAGTGCCTTATTGTGACAGTGCTCAGCATCAACAAAGTAAAAAGTCCCATTTGCCTTGAATGTCACAAAAGGCCTGTTGGTTTCCGGTAGTCGAATATCGGCAAACTTAATCGTCCTTGGTAGAGAAGTTGCCAGCCAGGACAGCATCTCCACCTCAAAGCTGTCAGAACCAGGCTGCCACCTGAGTTTGTGGATGTATGGGCTAACAAACCAATGAAGAATAAATGTTGTAGAAGCACTGAAGAATATCACAGATGATGCTACTGCACCCTTTAGGATAACATTCATGTCGGGCGATGTCATGAAGGTTATGACCGGACCAAGAGATACAGAGAGGCAGCAAGTCGAGAGAGACAGAAGTTTTACTTTTTTTATGGTAGACGAGATCGGACCATGATAAGCAACTCCGGGTTCCTTGTCATCATCCTCAGATTGTCCTCCGTTACGTGGTCCAATGCTAATCTTGTTGTCTTCCTCTGTAGTTGTTGCCTTAGATGCCCATCTTCTTTGAGCAGCAGCAGCAAGATGGGAGGAAAACTTGAAAGTAGGATTAGCAGTAATGAGCCTCGATTCATGTGTAACAGACCTAAAACAATGATATGCTGAACCATCGAAACAAATAAATTATTTACACAAATAAAAACATCGATAGGTATCTTGAAACAGCTAACAACTAGATTAAAATAGTTGACATTTTTATGAACTAGTCAGTTTCTGCTACCTACTACTTTTATTATTGAGCCTTCTGATGATTTTTTTGCTGCCAATTTGGCAAGAACTGAAAAAAGAATGAACCATTCATGGAACCAAGCAATGACTTAATTTAGTCGGTTTCATACAATGTAATAGAACAGTTTGGTCTCTAATAATTTAGGACAACTAAAGTCAGCTTCGTCTCAGGACTTGGTCACTGAAAGTAAACATGTGTGTCGACCAGGGATTTAAATAGCCCCCCACTAATAGTTCCCAAACAAAGTGTTATACGGTGCACATGAGATATTTTGTCACGTTTGAATGCACAAGTTCTTTTCTCGCCGGAATTCTTCTTTCAGCTAAATGTATATAATCAGAAAACATTTAATCTAAGTGAACAACTTAGAGAAGCACAACTCAGGTTAGACATATTAGTTAGAAGTCTCTGAATCGGGATGTGACTGTCTTATTTATTACTAGTGAACAACTAAAGGTAAGCACAATAGTTGACTGCCTATAAAAAAATCAAACATGATAGTCAGAAGCAATGCTAAGAAAATGTAGAAATTCAGACTTGCTCTCTATTGAGAGGAATACTATAGAAAAGCCTATTTCTTTGAGACATAAGGGGTATACACCAAGCCAACAAAATTCATCTCTTTCCATCAACCATAAATCACAGAGTAAGATACGCATAGATCACAGAAGATGAGACTACAAAATACAAGCATTTATGGGTTGAATGCAAAAATTGTTATGGATTAAATTATAAATTTTTAAATAAAAATTGAATATTAATTGAGTACAGCACAAACTAGTACATCTTTTTTATTGTCATTAAATCAATATTGATTGGACAATCTGGTTGCTGTCCTTGTTGAGCTATATATGGGTCTGTCCTAAATTCCAAACACTTTTTATTTGGTCTTGACAAAACCAAGGTAAAATTTGAGGCAGTGTGCAGTCTATGAAGTCCTTTGGTGCATTTGGTTAGAGGAGAATGCTCATATTTTTGGAGTGTTTATCTTCCCTTCAATATACTTCGGGATAGGGCTCTCTTTTTAGTTTCTCTATGGTGCTCTTATAATGATTGTTTCAAGAGAGTTGCTGTATCGGACTTTTATAACAATTGGGAAGCCTTGCTGCATTTTCACTCTATTTCCTCTTGATGTATTTTGCTCTTTATGCTTTGGAAAATTTCGTTCCCTAATATTAGTTGTACTTTCCCTCGCTTCTTTCTAATAAAAATATTTTTATGTCAAAACAATAGATATTGTTGAAAACTAATGACCACATCCTATTTGTTTCATTCATTTTCTTTCCAAATAACTATATTACAAGGTCAAATGAAACATTATTTTTTGTCAAAAACTACTATAATCCTTCAGAACAGTTAGAACACTTCTTTCATACCTCAAAAGGACAAGTGTAGAAAACAAATTTACAAAAACTAATACAAGGAGTGTTTTGTTTTTGTTCTGATTTGTACTGAGAATGAAGAAATTTCTCCCTCGTGTAATAACACATAGGAGATAAGTTAAACATAAAAAGATAACACCTCATCAGTTTCTGAATTCAGACAAGACTACTAACACTTTCATCAACAGGAATCATCGACTAAAAACTTGACATCAATCCAACTAAGGTTATCACTTGGTGAGAGATTGTCGGTAGTAACGATTATAACCTATGTTCCAACATTTGGGCAATAACTCAAACAGAATTTGAGAACAAATTGGCATGAAATATGAGAAACTTATCCAAGCACATTCCCCATAAAACTTCTACAATTGAATGGCACATTCTCCAGTGCCATCACCACATCACTTATGCTGCCTCCACTATTGTCATAACCTCTATTATCATTACTTTCAGTTTCATTATAATCCACAATCACCAATACACTGCTGAACCCATTAGTATGTACCATAATCATAAGGCTTGTTATTTCATTCTTATAGCATAACCTTCCCCCGAAAAAAGGCGAATACCAAAGAACCTAAGTGGTTGTTTGTTAAGTTGTTTTCTCTTGAGGAGAAAAAAACAAAATTGTTTTTTAGGGTAAAAAATAACTTGAGAAATTTTTATGTTTGTATAGTTGGGTTTCGTTTAAAACATTAGTCTCCATAAAAACTGAAACTCCACACTTCAACACAATCACTTTTTTCAGAATCCTAAAAAAACTGACAACAAATCCTACATAACCACATGGTTGAAAATAACTTCTTTTCATTTTTTCAGTGCCAAAAGGAATCAAATTTTGGATTTTAAAATCACTGGTGTCATAACATGACAGTGCATAATAGATAATACCCAGTTACAGGAATGTCACAGAAATGAAGAATCCAAGGAAAGATCAAATAAAGATTGAAACTTTGAAGGAAATGAGAATCCTAGATGAAGAAGAAGTAAGAATAGAATAAACACAAACACAAGTGAATAGAGATATGAAGAAGAAGAAGAAGAAGAAGAACCTGAAGGAGTGTAAGGAGAGAAGTGATGAATGCTCTGTGACCGCAACAATCGGAGGAGAGCGACTCTTGCCATTGTTATTGCTATGCTATGATTCCAATTCAAGGGGCTACACACACTTTCACCTCAACGAAAGAGGTTTAGGAGTTTAGGGTCACTGTGTCAAATTAGGGTTCTAATATTTATGCGCTATTTAACTGATAATATAATGTGGGCATTTGGTCTAGTGGTATGATTCTCGCTTAGGGTGCGAGAGGTCCCGAGTTCAATTCTCGGAATGCCCCAATGTTCTTTTGTAAAAGTTTTATACTATATGCTAATATTTATGTTTTATTTTTAATTTAATGGATATGTATATTCTCATTATCATCCATTTTTTAAATATTTTTTTTAATTTATAATGGGTGACATGCTAAAAATATAAAATGAGTAATATTATATCCTCATATTAATTCTCCTACTTATAAAAAATGATATATGTCACTGAGTAATAATTTATTTATTATGGATGAGTTTACAAGTGACATATGTCCCTTTCTTGTAGGTAAGGGGATAAATAGGATAATTTAGTATGAAGATATATCATTTTTCATATAAAAAATATTTCAATCATTAGTCTACGGTAGTTATTCACCAATGTTTGTATTGCACAATACACATTGCTTCTAAGTCAATGGTCATGTTACACCCTACATCAAAATTATTCAATACAATATATGTTAAATTGTCAAATATCACCCTGTGCAAGTTAACACCAAAGAAATAATTGTAAAAAACTAAGTTTTCAAACAAAAATAACACCCCACAAAGAAAACACGCTCAGCTGGCCACACTTACTGAGGTTACTATGTAATCTTAATGTATATATTAGCTTTACTACATAAACATGTTAAAAATCTGAATGTTAATGTATATAATGTGTCTATTATATAAGCATCTTAATGTTAATATATATAATGGAGTTACTATATAAACATCTTAAACATATTCATCTTAATCTATATTATTTATAATACTAAGAAAAATCCGCAATGTGTATAATATAACTAATGAAACTGACTTGTTTCCTGGTTTTAAAGCATATTCAATCAGTATCTTATTCCTCTTGGAACCATCCCCTCTTTTATCTTCTAATACTATATAATGTGATTTGTTCTTAATACCTTCATTTCAGACTCAGAGCAATACCTTTTAGACAAATAATGGGTTTGTTGAATAGTAAATGTGTGATTTATAGACCCGTGAATGATATCAATTTAGGCCCTGATAGCACTGAAATCTATCTCCAAGCCAATGTCAAAGGTTCATCATAACCTATTGATCTTTTTTTCAAACCATTTTTTGTTGCATGTTATTTTTTCATCTTGATTTTTGCATGACATGAAACTGTTCTTATTTTATTGGAATGGTTTTCTTTTTTGTCATGGAAAGCTTCTTCTGATTCATTTTTAAATCATTCTCGAGACAATGAGTTAGGCGATATAAGACTTCTCAACGTGCCTCCTTCACATAAACCTGACGGAATAGACAAATAGTTACATTTGACCCATGACTAAATGACATCTTTTGGACCATATGATAACCAGAAAGAAGTTGTCATTTGGCTCTGATATCATGTTAATCATGTTAATGTTTAAACCAATTGACAATGAGAGGAGTAGTCCAACATGTATTTAAACCATTCCCAAGACAATAAATTAGGTGATGTGATGACGTATTTCAAGCTGATAATAATGCACTCTACAAAATGCTAATGAACTTTTCAATTGCAGCTCCACGCATGACTGGAATTTTGGTCATGATTTTTGGTTGGTTTTTGGAGTCTAGAATATTTGGAACTTTGTTAAATGTACATTTTGAAGAGAGACAATCTCATTCATAAGCTTATTACTGATGCTGAGTTAGAAGAGTCACCCCTTTATGTTCTCTTGCATCATTTTGAAGACCCAAAGGAACAAGAAATAAAATGCTTGGATCAATTGTGTACCCGCCACTGAGATTAATGTATAGTCGTTGGAATAGGTAAAAGAGTAGATCAACTTCAATTGCGGTTGTGATTGCAGTAACGGTTGTAGTTACTATGGTTGTGGTGGCTGTTGCGAACGGATTGCGGTGTGAATTATGTTGTGATTAGAACAATATTTTTGAATCCGGTATAGCCCGATGCGGCTCGATGCGGCCTGACGTGGTCCAAATGCGGCCTGATGCGATCCAAGTGAGGTCTAATGCGGTTGCATTGCGGTCCAATGCGGTCGCATATTTGTGATTCGAAGTCACACCGCAATTGCAGTGTGATACGGTTGCGGTAACCGCCACTATACAATATTGTGGTCACATCAAGTGATGCGGTCTGCAATTTAAATCACTGACCTCAACCATTATAAATAGCAAGCAGAACACAAAAAAAGAGGCAGATATATCATACACTAACACGTGCAATTGCTGTAGAAAATATACACAGAGACAGCGGAGAAAGAGAGAAAGCAATCCAAGAGGTTTTCACATGGAAACCTAATAAAAAGCAGTGTGTCACACACAATAAGAAAGCATTCAGAAGAGAAGATAGTTCAGAACAAGCATCTTATGTCCCTAAGAAATCGTCTTCTTCTCACTAGCCAATTATATTTCACAAAGTAGTAAAAATACACTATTTTATGTTTTTATAATTTTTTTCTTAACTAGTTGCCACTTTCTGATTGGATTGGTACACAATGGGACACCAAATATTGAGACAGATCCCATGCGATAGTTAACACCAACTTCAGCAATTCTAACAGGTTTGCCCTTTATTTTATTCAGGTACATTCACATTACTCATCTTCATAAACATAAAAATTCAACAAAAGTTAATATCCTATGTCATTCATGCTTGTTATCACCTTATGTTCATATCCACAGCACAAATCAGAAATCCAATGAAGCAGTAGCCAATGTATGAAATTCAGGTTATAAAGGAAATATCCCTCTTTATTCAGTTTTAATCTCCTATTATACATCTAATGCTCATTTCATACGCAATCTGTTTGTTCTTACAAAAACATATTGGATTAGAACACAAGTTGATTTGAAAACAAATACTGCATGAAAGTAACTCCAAAACTGTTTGGGTTAGGATTTGTTTCTGATTGATTTGTCATCAAAACCCTTTTTCACATGCCATGGAGTATGGATTCTCTACATTAATGAAAAGACAAGTGAGATTATTACATTGATTTTAAGGACAAAAAAGTCATTACATGTGTAATAGAACGATTGATTTGTCTTTTCATTTTTTTCATTGTTTTACACTTCACTTATGTCTCTATTAATATAGATGATTATACTAGCACATCATATACCTATTATGAGTATTTTTTTTCTCTAAATATTTAATCTTAATATTATTCTGCTACAAAATAATAAGGAATATAATATTTATGTACAAAGGTTTATATATAATCAATATATCATTGTTTGTAAGTTAATAATTATCATATATCAATATCATTGTTAAAAGAAGCACCTCGCAACACACACATTGTGCCTCCACCACCGTCTTGCTTGTCTCTTCGCAACTCGTTTTCTCTGGTACTAATCTCTCTCTCTTTCTTTCCATTTGTTCCTTATCTTTTTAGATATGCACTTTCTTACACACAGAAATTACGATCTTTCATAAATGAAATAATAATGGCCTTCACAAGTTACTCATTACTCAGTTTTATTCTATGAAACGAAACCTTATCATAGATAATGAGTTTTAATCTATGAAACTCTATAATTATGCACTTACACATGTTATTTACGTCGTTGTTCTTTGTGTCAGATGGAAGCAATTGATGCAACGATTTCAGATGCGATAAATGTTTCTACGGGAAATCCTGATGGCACTTTGGTTCAAATGGAGGGTTTTAAGCATCGTATTGATGAGATAATTTCAAATGTTGATAATGTATGTATTATTAGTTGAAACTATTAAGCAATTAGTGTATATGATAACTTGTTTATTTGTTAATTAACACTTTTACATTTTCTTATTCCGAAGTTAGAATCACACACACATGTGTTAGGTCACAATTTACGGCTGATGGATTTAACGTATGATTTTATTGGCTTATAGTTATAGGTAGTAGCTATTGGAGAAGATAGTTGAATTTTATTTTTACTTTTTGTGTTGCTTCTCTTTAAATGCTTCTCAGAAATCCTATTGTTAGAGTGGCTTGCATTTTATTGATTGTGATTCATGCAATTTTATTAGAGACATGAGTGTTATTGCTAATTTTGGCATGCTATGCTATGACAATAAGGCATGGTGCTGCTTGATAAATCCAACAAGAAGTTAATGCCATCTTGCATTATTTAACTTCGTGCTATGTGCCAAAATGGATAGTTTGTTGAGTTTGGAGATGTTGGCTCATCTACAGCTTTATGCGGTCTTATTGCTTAGTTGTATAGTGTGCACGTGACGTAATGCATGATTCTTGGGCGTTTATTTTCTAATACCCAGAAGATCTTTAGCATAGAACTAGCTTGGTCACTGCAAGGTGAAGTCTTCAATGATGTGTCGTATGTGATTCCACACCAAGTAAGGAGGCTATGTGCTGCGTGGTTGAAATCCCATTGTTCCTCTAATACTTTTAGTCAAGCATGTAAGGTTCTTTGCTAAAATTACCTTTTTAAGAGTTTAGGGAATATATATGTAAAGAGTAAACATATGCTGCCAGTTAAAGTATAATGGTTATCCGTCAGTAATATTGGGTGCACTTGGGGGTCTGGATTAAGCCATTTTTGTATTCTCTGTTTGTTCAACTAGTGGAATTTATTTGCTGTCTTTGCTTGGGAATACAGGCTAAAAGCTAAAAGTGTTAACTTTGTTTTGTCACTGTTTTCTCTTATTATTTTAGTGTTTCGTCACTGTATTCTTATTTTGTCCACAAAATTAGCAACACACATAAATAAGAACAATGCATACATTGGTTAATAATTGGATTTAAAGAATGCAAGCTCTTTTGCAGGGATACTAGTATGGGAGTTTTTAGAATAAAGAAGAAAAACATTGTCTTCCCCGGACAAGGATAGTATATGTTTAATTATTTTCATACCTTTGTACACTGGCAAATACAATTTCATGTCTGCCTTTCTCAGATGTTGTGTGCTTGTGCATGGATGGACAGAACCAACAATCATCTAGAATGTATTATCACCAATGGATCTACATACTTAAGAATATTTTTGCTCCCAGGAGGAAAAGATTGATTTTGATACGAATTAAGAACCACTAAAGCATAATCCTAAGTTTGCAAACAAAA